CCAAGGACAGTAGAATCTAACAGGACTGCTACATCCATTGTATTTTTGTAGTCCACTAGGGATTGGTTGCCCGCACTCTACGTCACACTATTTGCCACGCCTGGTAACTGTCTGCGTTTTTAGAGGTTATATGATAGACATTAATACGTCTAAAAACATAAAACTTCAAAAATAATATGAATACGTCTAGGATATAACCTCTAAAAATACACAGCAAACGCATAGACCATAACAACAGCTGGGCGTGGAAAATGGTGTGACGTAGTTTGCGGGCAGGTTGTCACAACAATGGATGTAGCAGTCCTGTTAGATTCTACTGTCCTTGGAAGCATTCCATTTAAAATATACGAGGTTATGGTCTACTTCCGGTACACCGCAAGTGGCAGCTTGAAAATATTTTAGATCGAAAGTTCCGAATGAACACCCATGCTACCAAAATTTCCCTAAAATGGACCCTAAAAAAGTTCTAACGAACCAGTTACGCGAGACACCCTGTATACACTGTGTACATAAAATATGAAATCAATTCGATAAAAATTTGAAGGATATTTTTCCAGAAAAAATTCTTGAATATCTATGTTATATTTTTTAACGCGCATTTTTTGCGATAAAATTGAAATATACAGGGGTCTCAAAATTGAGATACCATATGTTGACATTTTAAAATAGGAACCCCCATTTTTTGTTGCATTTATGGATTCTACGTAGCTCCCGAGTATTTTTCATATAGCTGTCTTCGCAAAAATAGCAGTTAAAAATACTGTTACTATTTTATTTGCAATAATAGAGTAAACTACGCTATTCTCTGTTTCTTTGTTGATTTCTGAGAAATGTTTAATAATGTAATGATAACCATAAATTATGTTGTAACCCATAAACCAATTTAGTATTTCAACATACTGTTTTAAAATTTTTTTTATACCTTTATTTATTTTTATTCGTCCTCACTGTGTTTTACAATTTCAATATTAGTTGCAATTGACGATAAAAAATTATTTCTTTCTTCATCATTTTCAAAGCAGAGAAGGCTTATAAGTTCTTCAGAATAATCTGTATTATTCCTTGATTTCTTGCTATGAAATGATGTTATAATTGGGTCTGAAGATATTAATAGTCTCTTTAAAATGTCTCTATTATTGTGTATTCTTGAAATTTTTCTGGAAAAGCTGTCTTTATTCCGAGTTTCTTGCGTATCTTCTGAAAGCAGGCCAAACTGGATACTTAATGATTTTATTATTAAGTGGCCATGCACAAGAATTTTATGCACTGCCATAGGCATATAATACTAATTATACAGGGTGATTCACATAAGAATCGACACAGAGCAGGGACATGTAGAGGACAATAAATTAGGCCTTCAAAGTTGGCTCAATATCTTCGTAATAAATTAAGCTAGAAAAACCAAATTTGGTATACGTTATGAGTGTACCAAAGGTATTAATTGGTCGAAATCTCTTTCGAATTCCGCTAAAACGCCAAAATAATGCGAAGGTACACGAAAATAACAGAAAAACGACCTTTTTTAAGTGGTGATAACTCGTAAACGATGTATCCAATGATCAAGATCTATACGTCATTCGATTCGTCATAGTTCGAAATCACAAATGCCCGATTTCAATTCTCTCCCGTTAACTTTGTACAGCCCTCGGAATGACACCGTGTTCGCACATCATAAAGATAAAAAGTAATCCCGCTAATGCCTCGATAGCTCAGCATCATTTTCTATGTTGATGAAGATAAACGGTAATCGAGCTAAATAAGACTTAAAAATATTTTGTCCATTATATCGAGGATTTACTGTAATAAAAAATTAATAAGATTTCAATGTGATGTTAGCCATAGATTACAATCAATAGCTAACTTCACAAATATGTCAAACTAAATTGATTTTGATTTATTTTTTTTATAGAGTACATTGGCTGATATAAATATAATGTTAGATGAAAGGGGCGATTGGGGTAGTGAAGAAAAAGTACAATTAGAAAGCCAATTAATCCTCGCAAATAATCCAAAACTATGTTTAGAACCATCACCGAAAGTAAGCGAAATAGCAAGTAACACGAACCATTCGAAATTACTTTTTAACACGCATAAATTAAGACGAACGGCGCATCGTTACTCCCAAGTTTCCGTAAACAGAAAACGTCTCTTAGATAAATTTACAAATCATCCCGGTTTACAAATACTCGATTACGTAAGCAAACTTCGAGCGCGATCAAAAACCGGACTTTTACCTTCGAAACTACCGAAGAGGAGTACGGATGAAATACGACCTATTCCGGTACCGAATTTAGATCCACCAACTATTAACGCGCCAGCCGGTGGGATTAATATAAAAGAATTCAAAGCGTATCAAAAACCAAGAGAAACCAGCGATTGTTTGCCGCAAATGATTGAAGAATATGTATTGGAAACGGATATGCCATCGAAAGAGAAAGGAAAAACGCGGGTTTATCACATAAAATTAACAATTCTACAATGTCCATCTAATTCGGAATACTTAGGAGAATTATATTTGGATAGGGATCATAAAAAGGGGGAACAAAACGGGGTGGCGTGCCGATTTCCTTTAGGTTCAAGTGCGCACGCTAATCGGTATATTCAACAGTTTACAGATATTTTCACAGAAGGTGGGAGGAAATCAGTTCGGATTAATTATGGGTCGGGAATGAAAGAACAAGTTGCGCAAGTTCATGCAGCTCAGGTACGATTTAAAATTGTTTTAATTCCAACTTAATTTTAAATATAATTTTAGTTGCAAGCTTTACAAGCAGCTGCCCAACAAAGAACGTTAGTTCAACAACAAACGACGCAAACGAACAATTTAAATCAACCTTCGACGTCTCCGTTAGTGAATGGATCATCAACTACAACGGGAATTGTTCAACAAACTTTACCGACGCAAAACACAACAACAGTACCAGTTTTGGTAAGAAAAAAAATCGTTTTTTCGTTGTAATAAAAAAATATTTTCTAGCAAAATCAATTACAATCAACCACTCAGAAAACTCAAGCTCAGGTCAATCAAGAAATCGAAATCAACGCACTTGCAACTAAGTTGATGAATTCTGCGCAACAATTTCAAGCAGCAGGTAAATAATTGTATTATAAATAATTCACGAGCACACCCTATATAATCTGAACGCGTGAATAAAATGATACCTGACAATATATGCAACCAATATCACAGATTGGTATTGCAACGCGACGAAAGTTCCTAAAAACGACAATTCATTAACTTTAAAAGCTTTTTAAAATATATTTAGATATATTTTTATAATTAAAAAAAATCTTTTAAATATAAAAAAAGGTCTAACTTTCAGTCCCTTTATTTAAAATAATTTTTAGTGCAGCCATAGATTGAAATTAATGTTGAAAGTAGTGGTTATTTTGATTTGTTTATTGACTTAAACTTTAAAGCAACCGCTAGCAATAACGATAGTTCTAAAAAGAACAGTTTCGAAAATTATAAAGGCAGCAAAAAACGGTTAAAGACAATCATAACAATAACGCACGATCAGCTGTCAACATCTGGTTACTAATTTAAAATTGTCCAAGCTACCACTACATATTGAGATATGCAGCCAATATTACATGGGTTACGATAATTAATTAACACAAGGCAATTTGGAGCTGTTTGGCCAGCGGGAAGAGAAGTCACACTCATTACGCGAACTGTACAGGATGGTTCAAATTCGATGTCCGAATAGACTATCTCGGAAACTATAAAAGTTAGAAAAAAAGTAGCCTACATGTCATGATCTCGTTTTTCGAGAAACTGCTAATGCCAAAAACCTCAAAGCGCTATCGTCTTTTGTTTTTCCCCTAGAGGATAAAATTGAAAATATCGTGAAACCAGCAAGTGCAATTATCTTGGTTATTATTATAGGTGGAGTATTATAACTAAGACATTATATGGACACTTTTTAACAGAGAATTTTTGTGTTAGATTTTGAAATTTTATGACAATTTTCGTTTTTTTTAATGGAAACAATCGCTTATTAAATTCGTTATTTTTTTCTGATTATAAAAATATGGGTTTAGATAAGTCTATTTCTTATTGTTTTAGAATAAAGCTGAAAATAAACTTTTTTTTAGTGTCGTCAAAGAAATTAAATTTACAGTTTCCTGTAAATTACGGTACTATAACTAAAAATTATTTTACTAAAAATTTATATAAAATTTACTTTATTGTTGAACTTTTCGTAATCCATCTTAAAAAACAGGATTTTTAATTTGATACTTCAGAAAATTTTTGATTACAAACAAATGTTGCTATGTTTATTAAAATTAAAAAAAGATATATATATGAGCGCCATCTATCAGTAATTTATTAAGTCATTTAATAATATTAAATATTTTATTATTATCGATTTATTAAATCCATTTCTTGAAATATGAGTATGAAAATTTCCCAAAGTGTTAATAAAAGTGTCCTCTTTCCAATGAATCAACCCGTTTTGAAAAATAACTTTTAGTTTTTGAAAAACAATATTTCGATGTTGCAATTTTCATCGATAACTGTCAAAATTCGCTATAAAATTCATTTCTTGAAAGATCCTTGTGGAAATATCACCAATTATTAATTAAAGTATCCTCTTTTTAATGCAACAAGCCGTTTTGAAAAATCGCTTTTAGTTTTTGAGAAATAAATAATATACAAGCAATCAGAGTAGCGGTCGTTTAAAATTTCTACCAATAACGTGATATTTTAAGTGGATACAAGTTATCTAGGTTTTTCAACTGAATAAATCACATGTGATAATATTTTATAACTGATAAAAACGCGGCTACCATATACATACAGGGTGAATAGAAAGTCTGGAACACCTGAAATATCTTCAAAACGAGTTTCTTTTTGAAAGGATCCTTTCAGGTGTCAAAGACTAATTCAAAATTTGCTCTAAGATACTCAAAAAAATGTGTTCTTTCAGATTATCGAATAAAAAATTGGGGTTGCCTTTTAAAAAAATGTTGCTCCCTTTGACCCCGAAAATGGACGACACTGCAACAAAAATTTAGACATAGGAAAAGACGACAAATTTATTATAGTCTTTGACACCTGAAAGGATTCTCTCAAAAAGAAATTCGTTTTGAAGATACTTCAGGTGTTCCAGACTTTTTATTCACCCTGTATATACTTTTGTTTACCTGTCACATTTTTGACAAGTGTAATATATTAAAGTTAAGTCAAAAATAGTTAATAAATAATTAAAAATTTTCAATACGCTCGATCTTGATTTTAAATCGGGATAATTTTATTTTTAATTTACTTAAAATCAATCAATCCAGCTAAAGCTGTCGCGATTTTATCATGCTTTTGATTTCGAGTTATTTTCATGGTAACAAAACGTTCGTGTAAAAATAAAATTATCCGATTAAAAGTCAAGCTCTTGTATATTTACCCCCGATTAATGGCACCTACATATCTGTAAATTGCCATTATATTTGTTCATTTTAAGGGCTATAATAGGGTGATAAATCTGACAGATTTGGTGCATAGTTATTGAGGACTTTATAGATAGTTGAAAATAGCAGCCATAATTGTTATGCAGCTTACGAGTGTGTTATGCCTATCCCTAATAAGCCACACCAGCATACGCTACTATGCCAAAAGTGGCGCAATTGATTTGACTCACTTTAAAGTTGGGTATCAGCTCACGTAACACACTGTACTGATCTCTATTCCATACCAAATTTCATTGCGCTAGACACACGCGTTCAGATTATACAGGATGTGTTCATGAATTATTTCCAAGAGCGTATTTAAATTTTTTTTAATTAATTTTTGTTTATGTAGCTAACGCTAAACAACAACAACAACAACAAAAAATGGTTTCAACTGGAAATAGTGCTGCGATAATAAATTTATTAAACAGTTCTCCTGCGAGTAATTTAAATAGTGATGCAAGTGCGGCTGTAGTGAACGCTATAAATAATTCAACGTTGTTACCCCAACAGGTTAATCAAAAACTATTAGGTCGAAAGATAACGTTATCGAATGTGCCGAACGCGCGCGTTTTAAATCATAGCAATTTAATAGCGGTTAATAATAATCGGATGAACCTGCAAGAAATCGTTACGCAATCGCAACACCCACAAACGATTACTTTAACGTCCGTAAACAGCGGAAATTTTATTCAGGGGAGTTATATTAAACAAAGAACAGCAAATAACGAAAATAAATCGTCTTTATCCGCGTTATTAGTGGGCACCCCCGCCGCTGATAGGCCGGATATAATTAGTCCGAACACGAATTCGTTACTTCTCGAGAAATTGGCGAATGCTTCCAACAGTAATAATCAAGGACAGAGCCCTACGCATTTTATTCAAAGCCCTAAAAACGCTTTCGCGGTGCAATCGCCTAAAAACAATCAGGTTTTATCTCCTATGTCGAGTCCGCCCCCGCAAAATAGTAACACGATTAATGTGCAAAGTTTAAATTTCACCCCGTTACCGAATTTATCTGGTTTACAAAACGTTCAGGTGCAATTACCCGGTTTTTCGCAGCCTATTTCGTTATCGTTGAATGTATCATCAACGGGCGCCATCCAGGGACATCCCACGGGATTAATTGTTTCTTTACCGGTTACATCAGCCACGACAACAACGACAACGGTTACTCAACAAGCAACAACCGTTGTTACAGCTGGAAATAATATTGTGGGAACTCCAACTGTTGTTTTAGCAAATACGAATAGTAGTAATTTAGGTAAGTTACGCCCTAATAGTATTTAGGCCCACTTTTACCACCTCTTGATAAATCTATCCGATAGATAAATCCAGCTCTTAAGGTCCATTACTACCATCTTTTAGATAAATTTATCTTATAGATAAACCCATCTACTAGCCAATCAGAGCGCGTGAAATAGCCGTAACCATAGTAATAATCCCTTAGATAGCTTAACCAGAAGATGGTAGTAACGAGCCTAAGTCCATTACTACCATCTTCTGGTTAAGTTGATAAACCCATCTACTAGCCAATCAGAGCGCGTGAAATAGCCGTAACCATAGTAATAATCCCTTAGATAGCTTAACCAGAAGATGGTAGTAACGAGCCTAAGTCCATTACTACCATCTTCTGGTTAAGTTATCTAAATTATTATTACTATGGTTAATGTGGTAATAATCCCTTAGATAGGTTAACCAGAAGATGTTAGTAACGAGCCTAAGGTCCATTACTACCATCTTTTAGTTTAATTTATCTTATAGATAAACCCATTTACTAGCCAATCAGAGCGCGTGAAATAGCCGTAACCATAGTAATAATCCCTTAGATAGCTTTAGATAGCTTAACCAGAAGATGGTAGTAACGAGCCTAAGGTCCATTACTACCATCTTTTAGTTTAATTTATCTTATAGATAAACCCATCTACTAGCCGATCAGAGCTCGTGAAATAGCCGTAACCATAGTAATAATCCCTTAGATAGCTTAACCAGAAGATGGTAGTAACGAACCTAAGGCCCACTTTTACCACCTCTTGATAAATTTAACCAATAGATAAATTAGCGCTCTTAGCCAATGAGAGCGCTTAAAACCGCTGTAACCATGGTAATTATCTATCGGTTAAATTTATCAAGAGGTGGTAAAAGTGGGCCTAAGTNTAAGGCCCACTTTTACCACCTCTTGATAAATTTAACCGATAGATAAATTGGCGCTCTTAGCCAATGAGAGCGCTTAAAACCGCTGTAACCATGGTAATTATCTATCGGTTAAATTTATCAAGAGGTGGTAAAAGTGGGCCTAAGTCGATTACTACCATCTTACTATGGTAGTAACGAGCCTAAGTCCATTACTACCATCTTTTGGTTAAACTATCTAAAGGATTATTACTATGGTTACGGCTATTTTACGCGCTCTGATTGGCTAATAGATGGGTTTATCTATAAGATAAATTTAACTAAAAGATGATAGTAATAGACCTTAGCCAATGAGCGCGCTTAAAACCGCCGTAACCATGGTAACTATCCTCTAGATAATTTATCAGGAGAATGGTAAAAGTGGTCCTTAATGAATCAAAATGAATTTAATTTAATTTTTTTAGCACATTTAATGTCTTCTGGTGTAAAAACGTTAACGCAACAAAATATTCGGGGAACAACCCCCACGGGGGTAACATTAACACAAGGTGGCCAACCATTTCAACTAGTAACTCAATTGCAAAGGCCCCGAATTCAACAGGGTTCAGTTCAACAAAACGTAACCGCCAGAACGATTCAACGACAACCAATAACGATAAAAATGGCAACGGCGGCGACGAATTCAAGTCAGTTTGGTGATTTAAAGTTAAACTTTGATAGAAAATGATCGTATTTTTTATACTGAGAAGTAATTAACTTTTTTCTTTATACTCAATTTTTTTTAATTCATTCATTAATTTCAAAGTCATGCATGAAAGCCAATTTCTTAATTAAGTAAAAAAAAAGACTGTGATTTTTTTCTATTTCTTGGTAAATTCATTACTTGGTAATTTTTATTGGATTAAATGCAATGAAATCTTCAGATGCAGCTCAATCAAGTTCGACGTCGGGATTAAACCAATTGTTGCTACAAAGGCAAGGGCAGTTGCATCAATATCAACAGGTAAATAGTGGGGCTCAGGACGGGATTCGCAGACGATCGAACGTTTCCGATTGATAATTTAAGGTTTATTAAGTAAATTTAAGAAAAAATTTAAAAAAAAATGGTTAATAGGTTACAAACCTTTATAATTTTTAATTGTATATAGTATCAGCGTACTAGTCTTATTAGTCTATTTGATTATCTTAATTTTTTTATATTAAATGATAAAAATAAGAAAAAGGAAAGTAAATATAAAATGGTAAATATACCTAATAAGTATTTTACGAAAAAAAAAAAAATAAGAAAAGAACGTGAAACCTAACTGCCTAATTAGAGTGGTAAAATTAAACAAAAGAAATAGTCACACATCTTCGATGCTCTTTTGAAATAAATGACTGCCCTTAAACATGTAAATGTAAATAGAAATGAAAATAATCAAATGAAATTTACGCGATTTGTTTCGTTCGATTGATTTATTTATTTCAAAAGATGTAATTTTAACGCTAATTGTTGTAGTTTTTTGATGTAGGTAGGTTTGTAAATATTAATTTAATTTAGCTCTCCCTCCTCCCTTTTTATATCTACAAACCATGAAAATGAATTTAATTGGAAATTAATGCGATTGTAAAGAGTAAAATGTGTTTATCATATTGATAAATCAATTAAATTAATTATGTAAAGTGGATACAACACATATAGTCTGGTTAATTTGTATATTTTATCTTGGAAAAGTTCGACATTGTTAAAAACTGGATAAAACTTTATGCAACTATTCTTATATACAGGGTGTCTCACGTAACTGGTTCGTTAGAACTTTTTTAGGTTCCAGTATTCGTACACTTTTGAAATTTAATTGAAATGCTATAGTTTTTATTGCACCTTTTAATTGTACGTAAAAAAATATGTTGACTTTCATAAAAGTTATTGATATGTTTTTCGTTTTCGAGTTATTTTGATTTTAAGGTTTTTTTGGCTAATTTCACCATGCTCTTTAAAACCCTATATCCCAGCCAACGTTCATTCAAAAAAGCTCTAAATTGGTATCATCATATATTGTCATATACAGGGTGTCCAGAAACTCAACGTCAAGCGGGTGAGAGGCCAACCCATACCTGTTCTGGTAAAAATGAGAAAAAAATTCCATGTCAAACTTGATAGACAAATTCTTTCAATCTGAACTCAATCAAATTAATATATTTTTTTGCAAAACTAACGACTTTTGTTGTTTGATTTGTGACTTCTACAGTATCATGGTTCACAAGGAATACATTATTAAAAAATCACTATTAAATTGCGAACATTTCTGACTGTAGTACCTAAAGATATGATGTACGGGAACGATTTTTAACATTTTCAAAAATATGTCTATTACCATAAGTACGAAGGTTTTCACGGCCGGTGTGAATTGAACCAAAATTAGAACTAAAACTAGAACTAACACTAGAAACGTCTTTTAATAAAAGGTTTGACGTTTCGGATGCCATGTTGCAAGCTTCTTCAGAAACTGGTCCGAAGTGACGCAATTAGTTAATAAATTAGCTTGAATTGATTATTAATTAGTTTTCCGATTTATTACTATATTGTTTCCGATTTTCGATTTCGTCACTTCGAACCAGTTTCTGAAGAAGTTTGCAAGATGGCATCCGAAACGTCAAACCTTTTATTAAAAGACGCACGGCAAAACCCGAAAGTTTCTAGTTTTAGTTCTAATTTTAGTTTAATATGTCTATTACCACTTAACTAAGAGGCATAGAATTTTTTTCTTATTTTTACCAGAACAGGTATGAGTTGGCCTCTCACCCGGTACCCGCTTGACGTTGAGTTTCGGGACACCTGTGTATTATTGTCATATATTGTATCAGATTATCTTATACAGCAGTGGTGTCCACTAATTTTTGACGAAGATCGACCTTTTATATAAAAATCTTGCCAAGATCGACCGAAGGGTTTAAAATCTTTTTTTACATTTTGAAATTCACCTTACGTTTTTACTTACTGGCTCATCCTATCATATTTACCTACCTGCTTATAATAATATCACATCTTTTCAATGAAGAAAATATGAAATAAAAAATCATTTCATTTAACTCATTCATATTTTTATTCTTTTTTCTATCTAATTTTATTCTGTCCTAGAAGTTCTAAATTCAAATCATTCAGCTTACTTGTAATATATGTCAGAAAAGACAAATCTTAAAGTCAAATGTCATCTTCCAACATCTTGTAATCGTCGTCCCTTGTAATAAGAAATTGTTTAATTTCTTCACTGCAAGAACTTGCCTCTACTTAACCACCTCACGTTAGTATGCATCACAAGTTCAGTACATCCTTCGTGGCCGCTTTCTTCTACGTATAATTTAAAAAGCCTTCTTTGTAAACTTTTTGCCCGGATAGAATTACTGATTTTAAAAGCTAATACGGTCATGATTTCTTGTATATTGAGAACTTTAGAGTATAGCATAAATATCTATGTTATAGATATTTCAGATTCATGATTTTCTTGGCGATCGACTCAAAATGGCTTCGCGATCGACGTCATGAACACCACTGTTATACAGGGTGGTCAAAAATTGAATTACCGTTTCTCCATATTCAATGGGGAGAAAGTAGAAAATTTTAAATGGAACACCCCATATTTTATTAGCCTACAAGAAAGGGAATTTAATTCTCTACAATTTATCTATAAACATTCCTATACCTATTTATTGTAGTTTCTCTCATATTCGTAAATTTATCAAAACATGCAGGAAATTGTTGGTATTTTTATTACAAGGCCATGACATTTTGGCAGTTTTTTGTTTAATTTATTTCTATTATTATTTGTACTATTAACTACGATTGATAATCTTTTAGTTTACTATGTTTTACTTACCAAAAATAACAAATAGAAGATCAAATAAATGAAAGTATTAAAACAAAAACTTTTCCATGATGTTCAATGACTTACACCTGTCGTCAAATGTAATGACAACAATAATACAAACATGGACCAAAAACCGTCTAAATTCCATAGCTTTCTAATAAAAAAAAACCTGCATTTCATGCATGTTTTAATAAATTTCGCAATATGAGGCGAACTACAATAAATAGGTATGAAAATGTTTATAGATAATTAAATTCCCTTTCTGATAGGCTAAAAAAATATGGGGCGTTTCATTTCCATATTTTCATTGAATATGGAGAAACAGTAATTCAATTTTTGACCACCCTGTATAAGATACTCCGATACAACAAATGACAATCTATTTGACAACATCTGAAGAGTAATCGTGCCAACGTAGATCTTTTTTGAATGAACTTGGTCTGAGATATGGAATTGTAACGAGCATGTTGAAATTTACCAAAAAAAGCTTAAAACCAAAATAAAGTTTTCTATTTTTTTACGTACAATTAAATGGTGTAATAAAAACATTCCATTTAAAATAGCGAAGTTATAGTCTACTTCCGGTAAACCGGAAGTGGCGGCCATCTTGAAAATATTTTAGATCGAAAGTTCCGAATGAACGAACCATGCTACCAAAATTTTAAATCTCTACGAATAGTGGAACCTGAAAAAGTTCTAACGAACCAGTCACGTGAGACACCCTGTATATGAATATTGAGCAGAAAATACCAACTGAGATCACGAACTAAACCGTAATATCATATAGAGTAGGAGTGAAGATCAAAATATTCAATCGTTTTAAGAGTACAGTCATTGTCTCCTCGTTTTTGGAGAGATCTCAAGATCAGAGTCAATAGATTGCAGTTCCTCCTGGATATCAAGATCATTAAGGTGATCTTGATATCCAGGAGAAGGTTCGTCAGTTGGCAAATACTGTTCGAATACAACCCAAACTACTAAAACGAAAAGTTGAGAATACAACATGAACTGAAGCGTATTGTTATGTAGATAGAGGAGGAATAAAGGTCAAAATCGAGGTTACGCAATGATTGATTAATTTTGAATCGTCTTAAGATCACGGTCATCGACTCCTCGTTCTCGGAGAGATCTCAAGGCCAATAGATTCAAGGTGACCTTCACCTGTACTTCCTGACTAGTAAACTATCCAAACTAGTAAAGCGAAAAGTTGGGAATACAACACGAATTGAAATGGAGTTCTCAGAAAGATCTCAAGGTCAGAGTCAATACATTCAAGTTGTCTATCATTTTTATCTGCTGATTCACGAACTTCCTCCTGGATACCAAGGTCACGTTAATCTTGATATCCAGGAGAACTCCCAACCCAAACTGGTAAAACGAAAACCTGAGAATACAACACGAACTGAAGTGCACTATTATGTAGATAGAGGAGACATAAAAGTCAAAATCAAGGTTACGCGATATGATTGATTGACCTTGAATCGTGTTAAGATCATCGGCTACTCGTTCTCGGAGAGATCTCAAGGTCAGAATCAATACGTTCAAGTTGACCATTATTTGTATTTGCTGATTGACGAACTTCTTCCTGGATACTAGGTTACCTTAATCTTAATATCCAGGAAAAGCTTCGTCAGTTAGCAAAACCCACTATTCGAGTATAACCCAAACTGATAAAACGAAAAGCTGCGAATACAACACGAACTGAAGCGTACTATTATGTAGATAGAGGAGTTCTCAGAAAGATTTCAAGGTCAGAGTCAATACATTCTAGTTGTCCATCATTTTTATTTGCTGATTGACGAATTTCCTCCTGGATACCAAGGTCACGTTAATCTTGATATCCAGGAGGCCAACATTTCAGCTTTCTTTTTCAATAAACTGGTAAAACGAAAATCTGAAAACACAACCTGAACTGAAGCGTACTACTACAGGGTGCGGCAAAACTCCCTCTCTAATTTGAAAGTTGAATAAAAAACAGATGGTACAAATTAACGAAACTGTATTAACATGAATGGAATCTGCAGAATGGGAAGTTACGTTATTATCTTTTACAATTTCCTCTTTTTGAACAGTATATCGCTCAAGTGTTTTCCTTCGTTGTCAATGCATTGCCGAATGCGAGTTCGGAAGTTCGCCATTACTCTAATCAACATTTCTTGAGGAATACGAGCAATGTCTTCTTGAATCGTTGTAGGGTTGGCAGAGTCCTCGGATGGTGTTTGTAAACTTCAGTCTTAAGAAACTCCCATACAAAAAAAATCACAGGGAATAAGGTCTGGAGATCGTACTGGCTAGTGGATGTCTCCGCGCAAAGACATCAAGCGTTCTGGAAACAGCTGCCTCAGTTCTTGAAGAGATCTCCTGCTTGTGTGAGCAGTGATCCCGTCCTGCTGAAGCCACACATCCTGTTGAATCTGTATCGTATTGAATCGTGGTGTCATAAAAGTTTGAAGCATTTGAATGTATCGATTCGAGTCACTGCCACTCCTCCTTCTTCAAAAAAGTACGGGGCGATGATCCCGACACTGTTAATCACTCACCACACGGTAACACGTCTATGCAGAGGCTTTTCATGGAGTTCCCGAGGGTTTTGTGCACTCCAATAACGAAGGAAAACACTTGAGCGATGTACTGTTCAAAAAAAGAAACTTGTAAAACATAATAACGTAACTTCCCATTCTGTAGATTCCATTCGTGTTAATACAGTTTCGTTAATTTGTACCATCTGTTTTTTATTCAACCTTTAAATTAGGGAGGGAGTTTTGCCGCACCCTGTATATAGAGGAGGAGGAGTATTCATTGATCTTGAACCTTAACGTCATGGTCATCGGCTCTCCGTTCTTGGAGACATCTTAAGGTACAAGTTATGTGGTGTAACCGTTGGTTACTTCAAAGCAGCACCTCCAATTCTGTACGACTGTTACTATTTACCATCACCAGAAGATTATTAGCGTATCCCACAACTTCATCAACATAGCGTTACGGGTAAGGGCATTTGACACTGCCACCTCATACAAAGTAATCCCTAACCACCTCATACAACTTACGTAGTCTCCCTGCTGATAGTGTCAGTTGTCCCAAGACATCTATTTAATCCCTCACTGCCAAGGACTCTGTCCAACAGTGTTTTTCAATTTTTGATTTCTCATATAGCTTTACAGCAACGAAATGGGGCTGTAAAATTTGTTCAACGGGTCTTTGAGAATGCCAGGCTTGATTTTTCACAGTTACTATCAAATCTTTACATCAGCTTTACCTCCTTTAACCGAGTTGACTCATCTGCAAGTGATAAGTGTCGTGTTCAATCGTACCCACTTTTACTAAGTTTGTATTCATTAAGTCTGTTTTTATAATTCTTTTGTGGCAACTCTAATTTATCAGTAGAAGAGATTATTTAGAGGAGGAATTAAGGTTATGCGGTAGGATTGAGTGACCTTGAATATTTTTAAGACCACGGTCATCAACCCTCCGTTTTCGGATAAATCTCAAGTCTGATTGGATCTCATCCTGTGTTCTTCTTCAATTTTCAAGTTCAAGATCATTGCTTTTCAGTTTTGATCCCTAGTTATTGTCACCACATCGGCCCATCTCTTTCTTCCATTGGCTTTTGCTGTTGGATAGAATTAACATAATATATAACTCTGGTTGAAGTGTATTAAAAATTGTTTTGCTCGAACTTTTCCAACATAACTTTTTTGTACATATTGACCGGACTAATAATAGTATTAGAAAATAAAAAAGAATTTTTGAATATACAGTCCATACAATTTTAGAAATTTAATAATTGTATTGACTGTATTATTTTTTCTTTTTTTTTTTTTTAAAGAGATATTGATCTCGAAAATTTGCACATTGTCAAAAAAAATCACTTAAATAACTTAATATTGTATTCTAAGATTTCATTATTATTTTGAGTGAATGAAACCAATTTTTTTTTGGATGATGAAGAAGGAGAAGTGAAAGTACAAATATTAAAGAAAGATGTCCAGGAATTATTAAAAAAAAAAATCGGGAGAAATACTCTTTCTTTTATACGCAATGGAATTTTTTGTATGTGTTTGTATAAGATAAAAATGTAATTGTTTAATTTAATTAACAAAAATTTTTTAAAAAATAATTTTAGTAAATAATTAATTTTAGTAAAAAAAATACCTGTAAATACAAACTGTACTATAGTGTTATTTATTATTTTTTTTGTAAAGAAATACATGTTTATAATTATAAATACGTGACCATTAAGTGCATTAACATTTTTGGTTCCAAGTTTAGAAGCGAATTGTGTAATATATTTTTTTATGAACCAATTTGAATGAACAACAGTAACAATAGAAATCGCATCACCCCATATTTTCTTTCGTTGTTGTTTGTACATAATCTATTTTAATACGAGTCCTTATTAATAAGTACCTAATATCTTTTTAGCGACTGAATTTATAATTAATTATTACTCCAAACAAAGATAAAAAAAACATCTTCCATTTAGTAACCTCATTTTGGTCTTCAAATTTGAGTAATTTTGAATGTTTTAAGTTTACCAAAAAAAAAGAATGTGTAACTTTTCTCGTGTTTATAATAAAAAAAATCTACCTTCACCTTTTGTGATCGTAAATACGAACTGTGTAAAGTAAAATTGTAAAAAAAATAAACGTAATGGTAAATAATATGAAAAAAATGGTCCTATCGTATTAGTACTTTAAAATTTTTTTATAATAATTAATAATAATTATAAATAAAAACGAGATGGTGCGTTGTAGTATTTTTTAATATTACACAGTACGTTTGAGCATTTTGTAAATAGATATATACATATATCATTCTGTTTGGCAATACTACTCATGTATACTCGTTAATAAAAAAACTGATATGTTAAATTTTTAATTTTTATGATTAATTTTTACAAGTTTCCCATTTTTTTATATCAAATTTCATCGTTAGTCTCCTGGACAGCGTTATCAATCAATTTTGTAATCAAAGTTCCTCTCCCAATAGCTTTTGCAACACAAGATAACATATCTTCCTCACTAATTGGAGATCCACCAGGTTTAATAACCGAACAAAGTTCTTCGTTTTTTATAACTATTGTTATTATCCCGGTTGATACATTTTCTTCTTCGTGAGTTGGATCCGTTAATATTTCACAACTAAAAAATTAAAACATTAAGGTCTCTTCAATACCTCTATGAAGTTTTAATTTAAAATTATTTAAATTATAGAAGTTATAAACATTTAACAAATACGGTGTAAGTTGTCCTTTTTTTTACTGTAGTAGTAAGACGGACAAAAACAGGATTCTTCACTCAGGGCCGCATTAAGGAACACACCTTACTTGCAAATTGTAGAGAAATACTAGGTTCAAAATAATTTTAGTTTAAACAAATTTAAATTCGATCCTTTCCTTGCCTGACCAGCTTTTATTTATGACTCATAAAAACCGATGTTGTTTGAAATTGCAGTACATTCAAGGTTCGGTTTGATTACTAAGGCTACTCTAAGAACAAGATTGAACTTGTCTGAAGTTCTAAACACCCGGATCGACAAAAAAAAAAGGAAATTTTCCGGGAATACATATACGCAGGAGACTACGTCAGCTGCGAAATTAGCGGTAACTAATAGAGACGAAGAAATTATAGTGAACCTAACTCATGGTTACCGAATTATTGCATTTTTATCTTTGTTTACCTCAATTTTGAATTGGTAATATGTAAAACATGTAAAAAAACAAATCAGCTTTTATGAATCCAGTATTCGTGAATTAGGATTTAAAATATCGATGGAATATCAATGATTGAAAACAAATCGTAAGAAGTAAATAGAAGGTTAGTGTTAGTCATGAGATTATGATGAATTGCCAGAGAGGAGTTAAATTTATTTTGTGGTCTCAAGGATTTAGTTCGACATTATATTATGCTGCTTTAGAAAATATATACATAGGATCAAAAGCTGTATTTGATGTATTGAGGTATATATGGAGGAGGAGAAAAACAGAAATTACTGTGTACGGTGATGGAATGTATTTGGAATGGCAACTTTTATCAGAAAGTATAATGAAGATCTGGGACTGAGGAATATAATACTTGAATGGATGAACATGAAATTATATTGGCGATGGCGACACAACAACTTTTAAAACCTTGTGGCTATGAATCTTTATGGCGATAACTTTACATTAAAATCGTGCATGGGTGCACGACAGAAACGTGAAAAAAAACATAAAAATTTGGTGGAAAGAATAAGTTGACAGACAGATTAATAAAAGAACTAACGATTTAGGCCCACTTTTACCACCTCCTGATAAATTTATCCGATAGATAAATCCAGTTCTTAAAACCGCCGTAACCATGGCAACTATCCTCTAGATAGTTTATCAGGAGGATTGTAAAAGTGGACCTTAGTATGGTAAATAAGATATGTGTAATGCTATATCGGCAACCTACTACCATAAATTATCGTCAAACGAAAATCCGCATCAAATATAGTTCCCAATCAGACCAGAGAGTTGGTGTAAATGGCGTAAAGCCGAAGCCAAGAGAAAACTGGATAAATTCGACCACAAACCGACGCTTCATCTAGATGTTGCAGCCGCTATAAAGCCAATTACAAACATTATATGATATAATTATGAATCATTATATGATATAATGAGTGGTGAAACTCAAAATAACAATGAAAGGTTCAATTCTACTGTTTGGCGATTAGTCCTCAAACATCTAGCTGTGGCTTAAAAACAGTTGAAATATCCGCTTATATAGCAGTCAGCATTTTTAATGAAGGCTTATTATTATTATTGCCTTTATTGACAACCTTTGTCTGTGCATGATGTGGATAGTTTAGATATTGAGTAGGCAAAAAGCTATTGATATCAATATATCGATTTACAAGTTATAGCTGCAGACTGCACATTATACCTACACACAGAAGAATTTAGATTATTATTACAGGATATCCCATTCTAGTGCTGCCGAGAAAAAACTCCAACCCCAAATAGAAGGCTACTATTTATCAGCAATGTATACTATAACTGCAGACTACAAATAAGTGCTGAAAAGTACGAGTAACAAATATATAAAAGCAAACTATAGCCTGAGTTTGCAAAACCGTAATGTCAGAGTGAAGACTGAAAATGATAGACGAGCCTAGAGCTTACTTGGAAAATATAACTCAGGATCAGCTGCAGACTGCACATATCAAATACGAGCTGCTAATAATAGTCCAGAAACGAAATCTACAAAAATCATAACTGTAATCTGCAAACTTATTGCAAAACTTAGTCTTATTGCGAAACATAACTAAAAACTACGTACTCAAATAGTTTCATCTTCTTTATTTTTCTTTTCTCTATGCTTCAATTCTTCGAGAATTCATCAGTAATGCTAAAAATAAATAGAAATTTCTGTGCAACGTAGTTTTGGTTGCCTACCTTATCGTAAATATCAGAACCACTTGCCACATTATTGCAATATTTGAATAAAATGAAATTAATAAGAAAGCTGATAAGATATATCAACTTATTTGGATCCAAAATATAAAATGAACTTTTTTGATGCTGATTTAACTAACGAAGCAACTCTAAAAAGAGGATACTTTAATTAATAATTGGCGATATTTCCACAAGGATCCTTCTAGAAATGAATTTTATAGCGAATTTTGAAAGTTATCGATGAAAATTGCAACATCGAAAATTTTAATATAATAAATATGATTTTTTAAAACGGGTTGGTTCATTGGAAAGAGGACACTTTTATTAACATTTTGGAAAATTTTTATACTCATATTCCAAGAAATCGATTTTATACGAATTTTTAAAACTTAATCGGCGAAAATTGCAAAATTCGAAAAAATGGTCGATCATTTCAAAAATTTATTTATTTATTTATTCTTTCATGGCCCAAGTTATTACTTGGAGCCCAATGTTGGCATGAACCTAAGTTACTTGGGTTCGTGTTTCAAATTGTTACTTAGAGCCCAAGTAACATGAACAATATTTAAAGCGGTCGACGTTTTCGAAATCGGCCAAAAATATTTCACTTGATATAAGATATAATCTCGGCCGACTTCGAAGACATGAACATGAACCCAAGTAACTTAAGTTCATGTCAACGTTGGGCTCCAAGTAATTACTTGGGACATGAACCTAAGTAACTTGGGTTCATGCCAACGTTTGGCTCCAAGTAAGAACATGAAGCATGAACACAAGTTACTTTGGTTCCACTAATTATTACTTGGAGCCTAAGTAATAATTTGGAACATGAACCCAAGTAACTTAGGTTCATGCCAACGTTGGGATCCAAGTAATAACTTGGAGCATGAACCCAAGTTACTTTGGTTCCCCTAGTTATTTAAGACATTAATTTAAAAATATCGAAAATTTTATCAAAACTTCAAATATTGTTTTCTCAAAAACTAAAAGTTATTTTTCAAAACGTGTTTCTATGAGCAAGAAGAAGGAATAGTGTACGGCCCTGGTATAGCAGATTCGGCGTTTTTCTCGAAACATACTTTCTACAACTAGTTGACATGATTTCTAGATAACTACTCAATTGAAATTTTAACTATGCATTCAAAAACCATCTTTGTATCATTTAACCTACAGAGAAATTGATACCTTATATACATCATGTTTTTTTTTGCAATAAACTTAACGATTTTAAGAGCAAAATTTAACTAGGCGCCATTTTGTCAATAATTTTTTCTGTTTCAAATAATCTCAAGGGTAGATATCGCGACAACGTTGTTGAAGGATATAGCAGGCGTTATTTTTATAAACAAATGTGTTTTTAAATAAATAAATATATGTTCTAAACTTAAGCAAAAGATTAAATTGGAAGAGCACATAGTTTGGTAGCCAAAAATTCCGAAAAATATCACTTTATTAAATAGAAAAAAAGAGATTCGCCCCCTTAAGTGAATAACAAATAAATTAATAACTTACTCATCAAAAATAGCAAATGTAGTTGAAACCGGTGTGTTATTAATACTTAGAGGTTTCATTTCATCAGTATTAACTAATTTATTATCAATTGCTGGGTTATAATCAACGCTTGGAAGTTTAACAGTTTTTAAAGCAGTCAATAATGCGATTAAACAAGCGTCTATAACAGCTCCATCATGATCGATACAAATCATATCAGCATATAAACACCACGCCAATTTTTCTTTGCATATACATAAACTTTTTAAGCTTATACACCCAGAATTTTCAATCACATCAGCTATTGCTTTTGTAGTTACTTGTGCTTGATCACTCGGAGGACCGGGTTTATAATTGGGCGAACATAACGGGGGTAATTCAACGTTGGGAATTAAAAACCCTTGGTCGGGATTTTCAGCTTTCGGTTGACATAATTCCGCTTTTATCCCACAAACGACGGTTGTTCTCCCCACTTTCGCTATTGCCGAACCATCCGCAGTCGAAATTGAACTAGCATTTATTATAACTGGTCGGAATTTATTAAATTCTCTCCCATCCGGCCGAACACCATGTGCCACATAATCTCTATGATATTTCAATGGATGTAAATATCTAAAAAATGATTAATTAATTAATGTTTAATAAAGGAAGAGGTAAATTGTGGATTACTTGTATTGTTTTGCCATTTTAATTTACTTGAATTTGACGTTTTTAAAAAAATAACATGTTTTCATACCATTTGATGTTGACATAACCTAAAACGCCAATTTAAAAAAAATAAAGGTACTAAATTTGGGAAACGTTTAAGTTTTAAAATCCAAATTAACATAGAAATAAATAATTAACAATTAGAAACAAAAAATGAATGTAATAGTAAAGTAATTAATTTAAATTAAAATTATTTTAAAAAATTTTATTTAATTTTAGTGACATTTAATCTTTTCCATTACCAACCTCACGAGCGCAAGGTAGTCTTCGTCTTTATCAACTATTTTTTTTTTGACATATTTCGTCTTAATAAACCAATAATTTTCCTCAATAAGCATAATAAACGTGTTAAAAAGTACAAAATAAATAATTTTGATTTGTTCCGAACAAAATAGATCAAAACTTCTTTTGTTTTAGCGAATGGAAAAGTTTTGGGGACCACTTTGAAAATTAACCTGCAATTTTAATAAAATAATTTAACTCATTTTGAGTTTCAAGGTTGGTAGTAACGACAGAAATTCCCTGATCAAAAAAGGTTATGTTTTAATGTTAACATTTATTTATTACAGTTTAATTATTACAGATTTATGATCAAAAAAGATGATTTTCAAAAACCTTTCAATGCTTACAACGCTGGTAGGAGTATTAAAAAGTGCCCCAACTTTAACCCCCTTTGGTTACATTTATCGAAATTAGAACAACACAGGAATTTATTAATTAAAGCTTGATCGGTTTCAATCCCGAGCAATTATCTACATAATATTATTTATGTAGATTTAAGAAATAAATCTTTAACAACTAATTTTATTTCATTTGACGTTTGAAGCCCGCCATCTATCGAGAAATATCACAAATGTGTTAGTCAAATCTTTATGGAAAATATGGAAAAAGCGTTAGTGATATGGATAAAAGACCAACTTCAAAATCATCAATGCTGTTACAAATAAAGCTTTGAAAATTTACCAATTACTTTAGAATCAATTGCCGTCGATTTCATCCGTTGAAAAGAAGATTTCTTTTTCCGCAAGCCATTGGTGGTTTGAAAGATTTAAACAAAGACTCAACAAGAAATCATTGCCGCTAACCCCTACACCTCTGGTCAGGTTTTCAATGCTGACGAACCTTCATAGACAAAGCTCACAAATCTGCTAGTGGTCATAAAGTTGTATAACCACACTCAAAGTAATTTTATTTGATACTTATAATGTCGTTAAATGATCTTATGTATCATTATAGTATGTACAGTGTGTTAATTAATTATAAAAAAAATATTTTTAGATCAATTAAAATGTACAAGAATTTAGGGTTAAATAACAATTAAAACTAGAACTAACACTAGACCTAGAACAAGTCAATGTCAACTTTAATTTTATTATTCTAAAATAATCTTCATAAAATAACCTTTAAAGTGAGTCCAAACTTGACGCATTTATCTCAAAAAACCAAAAAGTTAGAACTTTCAACTTTTAATTTTGACATATTTGTTAAGTACATAAAAAAATCCTTTAAAATGAGTCCAAACTCGATATATTTAACTTTAATATTAATGAAAATACAATCACTTCCGGTTTGAAACGTCAATTTTGACATATTTGTCATCTTTATTAAAAAACCTTTAAAATGAATCCAAAGATGACGCACTTATCTCAAAAAACAAGAAAGTTAGAATAAAAAACGTTCAACCCGAAGTTAGCAACAATGAAGTAGCAATTTAATTTTCAAATATTAATACCAACCTTAATTTTTTATTTTTTTTTATTATATTTTTGTGACAAATATTAAGACATTTTATAAAAATTAAGAATATATCAAAATGACATTGACATTTCAAACCGGAAGTTGCTTATATCTTGAGTAATATTGGAATTAAACGTATCATGTTTGGGCTTATTTTAAAGGATTTTTCACGACGATTACAAATACATATGTCAAAATTGACATTGACATTCCTAACCGGAAGTTGACCATAACTTTATTAATATTGAAGATACATATGTCGTGTTTGTACTCATTTTAAAGGATTTTTAATGAAGATTACAAATATGTCAAAATCGAGGTTGACATTTTAAAACTAAAGTTAGGTATCATATAATAGACAACTTCATGGTGTTCAATGGACTTTGATAATATAGGTATTAAAGTAAAAGACGTTTTATCTCAAAGAGAATTTATTGCAATAAAAAATACAAAACGTATCAAAACATTTTACGTTAGAGTCGAGAAATACTGCCTGTAAAAAATAAACTTACAAATATTAAAAAAAATGGCATTCATTGTCAGAGAGATCAAAGTATTCTTTTTATAACTTATTACTTTATAAAAAATATGGCCTCCGACTGATACTAAAATAGCAAAAAAAAAAAACTTAAATATATTAATAAATGCAACTTATAAAACAGAGTATACTAAAAAAAAAAAAAAAATTAGAAACGTGCTTAAAACACGAAAAACAGTATGTTACACAAAAATAAATTACTGTACATAAAAATACGGGGATTGATTATCAATCATTTTCTGTTTATTGTGGTTACTATTTTCGTTGTGATAAGAGTAGAAAATTATTAAAAAAGAAACATTCTTAAACGTGTAATAAGAGTAAATGCAGCTACATATAAATAAAAGTAAAATCGCCAAAATATTATGGCACTTCTCCTGCTATCACTATTTTTTCTTTTCTTTTTTCTTTTTTAATTGAAATAAAATTATTTTTTATTCATAAACGTGTATAAAAATAACCAATTAAATGCGCCTACTTGTGTGGTTTCTTAATATATCTAAACTATGTCAATAGACTCGTTTCGCGGCGATATTTCAGCAACATGTAAAAATTTCGCAGACTTATATTTCGATTGAATCGCCTGTTGTTGCATCGATCCAGCCCCACGGTACAATTTGTACAAAAAATCAATCGTTTTATCCATATCTTTCAACGAATATCCCGTACACTGTTCTAAACCTTTAGTCCAAGTCTCCATTTCAAGCGTATGCCTTGCGATAGCTATAGAAGATGCAGCAATCATCGATGGTAATAATTTTAAAGTCGGTTCAGCTTCCAACAAAGATAATTCGCTGATATACTAAAATAAAGGAATTAATTAAATTGAAATTAAGTACCATTTTAAGTACCATAGCCAAATTTAACATATTATCCGGCAATTCATTCGCAATTCCAATTGCGGTTATAAAAGTATATGGAGTCGGAATGGAAAGTTCAAAATCCAAAATGCGTAATATTAACATTTCCATGCGAGTTACTTGACGTTTGTTGTAAGTATCATCAGTGATATAAACAAATTCACCTACATCTGGAGGATAAATCTCTTCATATTTTCTAAAAAATAAATTTAATTAATTTGAAATAAATGGTATAATTCAAGAATTATCATGTCGCTTAAAAATCGATCTTAATCGACGAGAAATCACTCAAGTAAGCCATTACAAATAAAAAGAAAGTGCAGAAAAGTGTAAAACTAACTGAAAAATGACTTTAAAGTTTCGACGTGACGTAACAATATATTTTCGCAGCACATTTGGTTAAAACGCATATTTTCGGGTGAAATACACCCGAAAACGACTAATATGTCGTTGTTTACCAATGTCTTATAATAATAATATATATTAATAATCCATACATGATTCCAGATATATGATTCCAAACACCTGAAATCTCATAAACTAGATAATTTCAAATTTTTATTTCACAGTCTTTAGTTATCCCTTATCTGAAGATAATAAAATAAAAGAAATAAAATACATTCATACTTTGAGATACAACAATGGTTTTCCCAAATATATTATTGATAATATGTTTTATAGAATACAACAACAAAAAGACCCCCTTTTCACTGGTAATAATAATGATAAGCGTTCCAAGCCCCTCACCTATAATTATATTACTTCACATGCTCAGCACATTTTTTCGAAATTCGATGTCCCTTTTATTGATAGCCTTTTCTAACAAAAATACTATTATGAATCTTTTATCCAACTGTAATATAAGAAATAATGATATAATGAAAGAATGTAGGCGAATATAGACGCTGCTTGTCAATTAAATGCTCTAATTGTGAATCTATATACAGGTGTTTCATAATATATGTGACAGCTTGTCCAAAAATTTACTTACCCTCTAAAATGCACCATTTTCGAGATACAGGGTGTTGAAATTTAATACGACGACTTAAGACGACTTTAAACAGTTCCCGTGCGGTTATTATAAACATTTCGGAAAAATTTTATTAGAAAAATCGCTAAAGAATAAAGTATCCTTCAACCGTATAATGCTCTGATCTGGAAGATACGGGACAACCTGTGTATAGTAGTGTTCTCTATTGAGAACGCTCTAGAACTTATGTTTTCGTCGTTTTTCCGGTTATCTTATGAAAGAACTTTTTCTTGCTTAATAGGCCTTCAAACTTGGGTCTTAAAATTTTTAAAAGTTTAATATATTCGTAATACATTAAGCTAGAAAAACCAAATTTGGTATACGTTATGACTGTACCAAGGGTATTAATAGGTAGCAAAATGAACTCAAATGAGGCATTTCAAAGGGTTGATTAAGGGTGATGGTACCCTAAATTTTGACAGATTTTTATAACCATTTGGCGGATTTCATACATTACTACTTCATTTCATGTGGAATCTAATTCTAAAACTTTTCTTATTCTTATTATTTTTTAAAAAACTTCGTTGTTTTCACAAAAAACTTAAATAACTAAAGACACGTATTTCGTAATGTTACTTAAAATTAATGTTTAATTTTAATTAAACAAAAAAAAAGACTTTTTCAATATTAGAAACAAATTAGGAAATAAAGTAAAATAGTGATAACGCAAGGTTCGAACCGACCCAGTTAGCGGTCGCAACAACACCTGACGAAGCGCTGCAACTCAGCAGGTCCATCGATCAATTGCCGATTAAGGATCGATATATCGGCAGTGATCAAACAATAATCGAGGACGCAAAATAATTGTCAAATTTAATTTTTGTAAATAAGACACGATTGTTTTGGAATCAAGGTTTTGTATATAAACTGAAAATTTTTATAATAAAGTTTATTATGAATTAATTATCTACTCGTCTTTACTTCACCACCTTCCTACAACAGATAATCAGGCATAGCCCGGATCTGTTCAATTAGCGAAACTTCAATAGTCGGCTTTGAAATTGTATGTCAAACTTGACAAATAGGTTATAAAGTTATTTGACGACAAAGTTTTATAACCTATTTGTCAGGTAATTGATTTTATCTACTATTGAATTATCTATTTGTTATACATTTGATTTTTGATGGGTAATGACACGCATTACTCATGACTGACAAAGTGTTGAATAATGAAGCCATTATTCCACAGTTCTGACACGGCCTACTAATCAAAAAATAAAATATTAATAGAAATGACAGCTTTCTTATATTGAGGTTATGTCTGAAATGTCTATCAAGTTTTTTTTTTTTCCTTTTTTTGATTTTTTTTCAAAATTAAATAGTTGTAGATAAAGTATAGTATTCAACTTGCGTATAATGGATGTTACCCACTCAGATTACAAAAAATATTTTTGTTTATACAGGGTGTTGCAAAAACAAAGTACAACTTCGTAAATTTAAATGGAACACCCCATATTTTATTACATTTTTGAATTACCCTTAAAATTCGACATACTTTTTGTTAAGCATTACCTATACTAAAATTTTACCGTGTCTATAAAAGAAAGCATACCCATTTATTTAAGACCCTACAAAGCAAATCTTTTGTAGATTATTAATGCATAGTTACAGTAACTTCATGCCCCTATACAAATCTGGTAACCTTCTACAGGATATTCGTAATATTGTACTCAATACCAGAAACTTGAAAAAGCTATCTCATTTTTTTTTAAATGGAATGCCTCATATTTTTTATCTTAAATTATTCGCCAAGTAATAAGGTTTCTTTTTTATAAAGCATATCCTATACCTATTTGCAATAGTTATCAACTTATTTACGCTTTTTACAAATTGCTACTTTAATAGCCATTTGATTTCAAAAATTTTTTGTTGGTTAGCCATGAAAATAATAATTGATAACAACAAAGCAAAAAAATGCAAAGAGAAATTAAAATTAATAATATTCAATATAAACTTTTGCTTAACAAAAAGTATGTCGAATTTTAAGGGTAATTCAAAAATGTAATAAAATATGGGGTGTTCCCTTTAAATTTACGAAGTTGTACTTTGTACTTTGTTTTTGCAACACCCTGTATAAACAAACATATTTTTAAGTTATGCACCTTTAAGCATTTAACATTTGCTTCTAGCGACACCCTGTAAGGAGATATCGTCCGATATCGCACTAATTGGACACCTGTATACATGTGTATACCTGACTTTATTTTTATTTTATTTAATTTTACTTCTTAATTTTTAAATTTGACTCATGTATTTGTTTATGGTGTATTTTCATTTATGTATATCCATGTAATATAACCTGACATGTGAAAATGCTGTAACAGTTTGGACATCACAAATAAATTATTATTATTATACAGGGTGTCTCAGCGAGACCGGTCATTAGACGTTTCTGGGGTTCTGGAAAAAATAAAAATTTGAGAATTCAGACTTAAGTATTATCAATTACGATCTCTTCGTCTAAAATATTTTCAGATTTCTTGCACTTCCGGTTATACCGGAAGTCGCCACCAACTTTATTTTTTTAAATGGAACACCCCGTATATTTTTACATATTTGGATTTGTCTGTTTTCAAGATTTATAAATAACTTTACTTTTTGCAATTTGATTCGGCCGTTCTCGAGTTATTCGATTTTTTCTAGAAAAATCTGCTCCAAAAAAAAAAAATGTTCAAAAAATCAGAGAACACTCGATTTTTGGGATATCAATTTAGGATTGAGAACATGCTTAAGCAACATGATGAAGTATGTTTTGGTGTCAAGAACTGCTGTCTAGAACGTTTGGTCACTTTACTATGGCACGTTAACTTTTCAAAATTTGGAAGTACCATAACTTCATTTTTTTAAATGGCACCCCCCATATTTTATTTTTTAGTCGTCTTCGGTGTCTCATTCTACATCTTTTATATCCCATATGGCCCATACCTAATATTAATAGTTTGGGAGATAATTAGGGTTTTTTGAAAAATGCACACATATCATATGGATATTTAGCCTAGTGTGCCATGAAAAACAAGCCTTCTCAATGAGTTCTTGTCAAAGACTCACTTGTTTACGTCACTTGATGCATGTGAGCTAATAATTATCTGTTATGTCCCTTAATATTAGTACTGAAACGAGTTAAAATCGATAACAATAACGAAAGTAATATTTACACAAATCAAGAAATTCTTAATTTATTTTTTTTGCATGAAAAGCGCGACAAAGTTCGTAGTATGATTCCCAGATCTTCTTTGGCAGCTCGAATTGAGGTGTTGGGACTGGGCTCGAAATAAGCCAAGGTATTCACCTCTTCCGTTGCATTATCTACTACATTTTTTGGTCAGTTTAACACGTGATTAATTCGTCCAAAATGCAAAAAATTTGCTTCTATTCCTCTAAATTTACCTTTTGTCATCGGAGATAAATGTGGATAATTTTCATTAAACATTCTGCAAGTTCTACTAAGAACTTTGTCGCACTTTTCGTGCACAAAAAATAAATTATGGATTTCTTCATTTGTATAAACATTATTTACGTTATTAATATCCATTTTAACTGGTTTTAGACTCACAAGCATCAAACAACCTAAATTAGACTTTGACGTTTATCAATAAGTCATTAAACATTTGTTTTCCATGGCACACTAGGTTAATATCCATATGATATGTGAGCATTTTTCAAAAAACCCTAATTATTTCTCAAACTATTAATGTTAGGCATAGGACATATGGAATATAAAAGATGTAAAATGAGACGCCAAAAACGACTAAGTAATAAAATATGGGGGGTGCCATTTAAAAAAATAAAGTTATAGTGCTTCCAAATTTATTAAAGTGACCAAACGATCTAGACAGCCGTTCTCAGCACCAATATATATAATCTGTTTTTTATTTAAATCAATTGTCATTGCCAAATTTTTATAAAAAAACGGTCTGTACCACCCTAGATACCATGTTCTATGACCACGCTTTATAATATTTTCCACTAAATAATAAGTAAGGTTGTGTATATTCTAAACGAAGTTGTCACTGATTGTCACTTTAAAGACGAAGCCACTAATCTCTCGTCACTTGGCTAATATCTACGTTTTGAAATTAAAACTCGTGAGCAATATATTAAGATAACATAATTAAGTGCTATAATTAAAATTTGAATATTGTTTAAAAATCAGAATTACTGGAAGAATCTGAGTCTTCCGCTAGTTGGATGATGACAGGAGGTAAATCAGTTATTAATGAATTTCCCATTAATGTTGTCCAATCTTTTTTAATTAGTTCTTCACAGTGGCGAACACTATTTGCCCACATCTCCGGAGTGTAATGACCAAGAGCTTTTTGCCAAGTCTCCTTGACACGACAGATCTTTTTCTCCGAGCTGGACTGAACATGTTTATTGTAATAAGTTTTTAAGAACGCCCAACATAGTTCAATGGGATTATATTGGCAATTGTATGGAGGAAGGCGAAGAACAGTATGGCCATGGTCTCTTATTAATTTGTCAATTTCAAAGGATTTTTCAATTTGAGGCTTGTAATAACGGATTATTTCCCATAACGATTTTTTATTTAAGGTTGGTTCAAACTGTATATTATGTTCAGTTAACCATTTTTTCATATCATTTTTTTTTGTGCAGAAACTTGGAGCTTTCTCGATTTGTTTTGAGTGATATGGAGCATTATCCATTACTACCGCACACTTCGCACCCAAATTATTTAATGCTGGAAGTAATTGATTTTTCACCCATTCCATAAAAATAATTGACGTCATATTTTTATGATAATCTCTGTGCTCCGTGTTGTCACTGAGCAAGAGATCGCAATTTGGCAAAAACCCTGACGAAGTGCCTGCGTGCAAGATTGTAAATCTTTTTCCTTCGCCTTCTGCTCTTTGCGGAATACCGAATCTTTCATTTTCATTTACCCATTGATAAACTTGGGTGCCATTTTCGTAAATCCAAGTTTCGTCAAGAAAAACAAAAGTATACTCTCCGGATTCTAGGTATTGCAAGTATGTCTTTAAAAATGTAATTCTTTTTGAAACTATATGTGGTTGTTCAATTAACACTTTTCTATTGCTAATCTTTTTATATCTATATCCCATAGATTTTATAATTTTATGTAATTTTGATCTACCATTAGTAAAATCACATTCATTTCTTGCAAAATTAAGTAAATCATTAAGATTAAAATACTGTTTCTTTTCATGCAATTTTTGTATTTGTCTTCCTAACTCTTCTTTAATAAAATATAAATTATTATCCGTTTTGTAGTTCATTTTACAACGCCCTTGTGTTTTTGGTTTTTTTACAGTTTGATATTTTTTGTAGGTTTGAATAATTTTAAAAACCGTCGTGCTGTGAACCTAATACAATTATGTTGAATATAAATTTAATTTTAAAACTCAAGTGCAATACACATACATCAAAAATACGTGAAGCTTTATCACATATATATTTTAAATTCGTATTTGGTGTCTCCGTCTGTACTTCTTCACAATACCTAATTATAGAGTTTTTTTCGCGTTTATGGTAGATTTAGCAGCAAAAAAATTATATGAAAATTGTTTTTTAATCAATCTTAACAAATTTGATAGACAGTGGTGGCACACAATTAAAGTAAAAGTCACGACATGCGCTTTTACTTTCAATACCAACTTGACGACACTTTGACAATTGATTTAAATAAAAAACAGATTATACATAGATAAATTGATATCTCAAAAATTGAGTGTTCTATGATTTTTTGAACAAATGTCCGCTGGAGCAGATTTTTCTAGAAAAAATCGAATAACTCGAGAACGGCCGAATCAAATTGCAAAAAGTAAAGTTATTTATAAATCTTGAAAACAGACAAATCCATGTAAAAATATACAGGTGTTCCATTTAAAAAAATAAAGTAGGTGGCGACTTCCGGTATAACCGGAGGTGCTAGAAATCTGAAAATATTTTAGATGAAGAGAACGTAATTGATAACACTTAAGTCTGCATTCTCAAATTTTTTGTTTGGCCAGAACCCCAGAAACGTCTAATGACCGGTCTCGCTGAGACACCCCCTGTATGTTCAAACCTAACATTTACAAGAATACAAAAAAAACGCGTCATTTGCGCATGCGTGAAAGATAAATTACCGCAATATTTCTTGCCCTAAGAAAAACAAGGGCGATTTTTTGGTATATTCTACACTTTTCCACACTTTCTTTCTATTTTTAACGTATTTTTTGGGTAATTTCACATTGATAAAAAAAAATCGTCGAGTTTTAAGCTACATAATGGTTAAATTTATCCAAATAAATACTTACGCAGCAATAAACATGGCAGCAGTCCCAACCAATTGTAATTTAGCCCTCACAACACTCATATAACTCAAAAATCGATCAATGTAACTAACAGATAAGTATAAAGTTTCCGTATGCAATTTATATTCCTCCGCAACTTCAACCAACCAATCGACAAGAATTGCACGCATATTGTGAGTAATATCAGGTTGTTTGACCATGTATCCCGGTTTGGGACGATTCAATTTCTCCCTTTCGCATAAATATTCCAAAATGCTACCTCGATATTCAATACATTCAAAGAAATAATCTTTTGCAGTACGATTAATCGTTTTATCCAATTTTTTATTAGCACCCTTCTCAATGTTCATCGGAGACGCTATGATCCGTTCAAGTTCACGATCAGAAACTGAAACTCGAACTTCTTCCTCCGGGTTTAAAAGTGCTTGTTGTTGTAAACGAGCAGCCATCTCCTTAACCTCTTTTTTAGTTACAAAACGATCCTCTTCCGTTCCCTTATAAACGTTACAATAAATATCTTTTTCTTTACGCTTTCTTTGCCTTTCGGTGCGTTTTTCATCGATGATGTCTTCGTAAACGTTAAACGCTTCGAATTGCGCAACGGGGACGACAGGAACGGATTTTTTTGGGAGGATATCATCCCGATTTCCGTTTTGTGACTACAAAAATTTTATTTCAAAAAAACGGTCATTTTTTATTTCAAAAATTAAAACTTTATTAATCTTAGTATTAATTAAAACGATTGTTTACCTGTTTTTTGTTGAAAAAACGTTCGGATCGGTTATCGATGGCCCCCAAGACCGTTCGTTTCTGTACACCACCATGTGCAAGAACCGTCTTATTTTGGCGAAAGGCGGGACAATTTTCTTGGTCCTCGTGAATATTAAACGAAGCCATCGCGTTCTTTTTACTAAATGGGAACGTTAAATGTTAGTTTGGAAGTAATTTGAAGTCGGTTAGAAAAGCATTTAGGGCAAGCCGAAAATAATGAACCAACTCTATGCTGTCACGAGACTTCTAACGGCTTCTACAGCAGAACGACGCATGAAAAAACGAACAGCTGAGGAACGGTTTTAGAAGGAAGTAAATAACAAGTTTTCAAGTTTTAACCAATAAGATGACGTGAAAATGATCACGTGTGACCAGGGTTGCCAATCGTTTTTCGTTTGAATTTTGGACGTTCATTAAACGATTTTTTATATAAACTTAATATAGTAATAATTTTTAACAGATAGTCTTAAAGGAGTTTAATTTGAAGGTAATTCGTGAGAAAATTTATTAATAAAGTTAAATAATCGAAATTATTTCGATTGAAATACACTTCCCGGTTGCTTTGTGTTGGTATTACCGAAATCCCCACATTACAAACTTTTAAAATTAATCAACAACATTTCATTTACAATAAATAAATGTAATAAAAGTTGTATGTATTAATAATATAGCGTTAAAAACTATTTTAATATTTCATATTAAATATTAAAACATTTTAAATATATTTTGATTTTTCAAGGTCATGTTATGAAACGTCACGTTGTCGTAATTATATTCACAATAAATATTAATTTTAATTAAATGTATTAATTTGTTTATATAAGTATTAATAAACTGGTAAAAAGGCATGAAAAGTAGAAAATCAAACGTTAAATCTTCACAATATAGCCAGCCAATCTAACAGATAAATGACAACCTAAACTTGTTGGAATTTTTTACTTTACCCTTATCCCGTTATTAACAATATTATGTTTGCAATAAACTAAATAAGTATTAATTTTAATTAAATTTATTAATTTGTTTATATAAGTATTAATAAAATGGTAAAAAGGCATGAAAAGATTAAACATTACATTTTAATAGTATAGGCAACTAATCTAACAATAATATTAAATTAAAATATTTTAATTTGGTTGAATTTTTACTTTCTCATATATACAATATATACAATGTAATATGTAATATATATATCACTAGAAAATAGTGTTAAAATTTATTTTATATTATATTCCCCATTAAAATATTTAAAATGATTTTTCAAGGTCACGTATGGAATGTGTCGTAACTGCCACCTTTATTTAATAATTTACAATTTTATATTTATAATAAACAAAATAAGTATTAATTTTTAAATTAATTTATTAATTTGTATTAATAAATTAATAAGTATAAATAAAAAGGTAAAAAAGCGTGAATATCATACGCTAAATCTTGATAATATAGGCAACCAATTTAACAAATAATGTAACAACCTAAATTTATTTGAATTTTTACTTTATCTTATGTACATACAATATATGGTATTTTATATAATAATATATTTAAGTAGTATTAAAATCTATTTTATATTATCTCCACCATTAAAACATTTAAAATTATTTTAATTTTTCAAGGTCACGTATGGAATGTGACGTCGTAACTGTCAGTCTTTATTCGGTTATTAATTAACAATATTATATTTACAATAAACCAAATAAGTACTAATATTTAAATAAACTTATTAATTTATTAATATAGGTATTAATAAAATGGTAAAAAGGCATGAAAAGTAGAAAATCAAATGTTAAATCTTCACAATATAGGCAACCAATCTAACAAATGATATATTATAACTTTTATAACTAATTAACAATTAACAACGGTTATTAATTAACAATATTATGTTTACAATAAACTAAATGAGTATTAATTTTTAAATAAATTTATTAATTTGTTAATATAAGTATGAATCTAATTGTAAAACAGCATGAAAAGTAGAAAATCAAACGTTAAAGTTTCACAATATAGGCAACCACTTTAATAAGTAATATAATCTAAATTTGTTTGAATTTTTACTTTATCTTATGTACATACAATATATGGTGTTTTATATAATAATATATATAACTTTAAAGTAGTGTTAAAATCCATTTTATATTATCACCACCATTAAAACATTTAAAATTATCTAGATTTTTCAAGGTCACGTATGGAATGTGACGTCATAACTGTCACTCTTTATTCGGTTATTAATTAACAATATTATATTTACAATAAACCAAATAAATACTAATATTTAAATAAACTTATTAATTTGTTAATATAGGTATTAATGAAATGGTAAAAAGGCATGAAAAGTAGAAAATCAAACGTTAAATCTTGGCAGTATAGGCAACCAACCTAACAAATAATGTGACAACCAAAATGTTTAACAATTTTTTAACAGCTAGAAAGAAAAGTTAATTTCCGACTTAAAAAATACCTTAAAAATGAGTTACATAGCACAAAGAACGGCCACAAAATGGTTTTGATGAATCCTAGTTTATGATTAATACAAAGTCTTGTAAAGCAATTTATTTGGAACAAGGAATTTAAAAGTGGTCCATATAAGATTAATAATAATTTGCACAGATTGGATTCAGACTAATAATGAAGATGAAAAAGATGTGTTTACGACTGAATTAAACTGTAGTTAGCTCAGGAAGTAATATGGTTTAATGGTGATATCAAAAACCTTCATATGACATAACCTAAATGTTTAACAATTTTTTAACATCTAGAAAGAAAAATTGATTTCCAACTTAAAAAATAGATTCTCACATGAATCTTTATTTATAATTAATACAAAGTCTTGTAAAGGAATTTAGAAATAGTCCAGGAATAGTTCAGGAAGCAATGTGGTCCAATGATGATGTCAAAAACATCTGGGACTTCATTGTTTTGATATCATTGCTTCAAATATATATCAAATGTCCGTCCTAACTTTCTTCATCGTTTCTTTGGTCTTCCTTTAGCTCTCTGTAGTGCCCATTCTATGATTCATTTCAATCTTCTGTCTCCCTGCTTGTTTCCAGATGTCCCAGTCATGTTATTTTCTGTTTGTTATATCTGCACCATTTTGGTGATCTTCCATAAGCTGGTTTAATTCGTAGATTATTCTTATTCTCCACATTTCAGGAACATTTTGTATAAGGCTTTAGATTCAATAATTTTTTAGCTATAGGTAAAAATATAATTTTATTTTAGTTGAAATGTAGCAAATAAAATACGCACTTTTTTAACGAAAAGACAACATTTATTTCAATAGTATAACTATTTTTTATGTACACCATTATCTTTTATATCAAGATAATTTGCGAAATCCATCTTAGATACCGTACAAACTAATAATTATTTATCCGTTTTATACGGAAGGTATGAAGGTAATGTAATAATTACGCATCTATGACTAATATACGCGTAAAAATTGAACGAATCCGGGGGAATGGAAGTGTTCGTTATAAAAATTGAGGGAACGATTTGGTTTTTTTTATTCAATTATAAAAGCAGCGATTTTTTTGTTATATTCGGTGCTATAAGCTCATCTGCATTTTCATCTTTTTCAATCGAAGTAAATTAAAACAGAATTTATCAACAAAAACAAGAATTATTTTCTAAAAGAATAATAATAATAGATAATGTACAAGGAAGATCCGTGATTTTTTTATACAAATAATACATCACATGGTATACCTTTATATACATAAGTTTAAATTTTAATATAAAAAGGTGATACATACGACTTTTATTGTTATTTTATTTATTTCTTTTTTTTTAGTTACAATAGAAATTAATGATGAAGAGAAAAGCAGATTATAATCTCGAATAATAATGATAATAACAAGAATATAAAGGCCGTGAGTAATGTACAACGCTCATCGCCATAATGAGATTAAAAAAAATAAAGATAAAAAATGAGACTATGTGTACTCGTATACAATTCTGATCGCTTTTCGACCTTAAACGAAATCTATTACGAAATTTGTTAGAATTGTTACAATATGTTACAATTATACAATTTTCCGCATCGCGGTTTTTTCATCTGCGCAGTTTTTTGGCAAGTAGACTAGCACTCATTGTGAGATCCACTATGTCTCTTCTTCTTTTCGTAATATTTCACCGCTTCAAAAACTACCCCCAAGAAAACTTCCAAAAAGAACGTAAAGAAATGGCACAATACCCCGTTAAATTTATTTCATGTTACCACCATTTTTATTTTTAAGGCAACAATAAAAAAAAAATTAATCAAAAAATCTTATTTTTTAGCGATAAAACGAGTTCTTTTGTTGATTTGTTGGTGGTAATTTGTGTTGGTGAAGAGAAGTGAAGAACTTGCTACGGCCTTCCACTTCCTCTGGGGCGTCATTGAGGGGTGTCGAAAGTCTCGGAATCTGGGCTACCGTAACCGCTGGATCCGTCGTCCCGATGGTGGTAGTTACTAGACGGTCGCTGTGGGCCTGCCAGCGGTGAGTTCTTCTCGCTGTAACAGGAGGCACCGGACGTCAGAAGGGCCGAATTTCGGACACTGTTTAGATTGTCTCCTGCTGGCTGAAATAAGATCAACCAACATGTAGACGATAACTTTGATACCATTTTGATTTAATGGTTTGTATTGAATGATAAAAACATTTTTTTAAATTATGTTTTAGTGGCCAACAATTTGGATTATTTGAAACCGTTTTTAAATGATGATACATCACATAAATGGGGGGGTTATTTTTCAAAGTTAAAAATGAATAAACAGCATGGTATTGGAAGCATTAAAGCGTTTATCACGTAATAAACCGTTGAAATTATCCGCGTTCACTGAGTCCACTAGAACATAACTCGATGGTATTACAAAGTTTTCAAATTGGCCGTTTGTATCCGTTATGCGATGTTTAACTGTTGTACGTGTAATACTGGATTTACCAACGTACGCTTTAGGGTAATAACCCAAAACAAAAAAAAAATAATAATAAAATCCAGCAACATCTATACAGAGAAAACTTTTATTGTGAAAATGTACAACGAAAAATTAGGGGATGAGGATTGAATGACGACAACTGGTGGCGCAAGTTCGACAGAGACGGGAAAACGTTAAAAATAACGCCCTGTTACAGGATAAATGTGTATCATTAAATGCTCCCGCTAAATGGACTTGGAGCGGCGTCGGCCGTTGCCGTTGCAAAGTGGTTTGTTTGAAAGCTAAAAGCAAGCGAATGAAGCTCTTACCGAGCTGATGGTCGCTCGCGATATCGCAAATATTATTTTATTGTCGAACGCCGCTCTGTGCATTACCGGGAACATTCGTCTCTTTTTCCCTATCTACTAAGGAAAACCCGCCTTAATACTGCTCCTAAGACATATTACACAATTCATTTTTAATATTTTAATAATGGTTAATTTTAAATAAAAATTAATAATTGTTAGTGACTTTCAATGAGACACTTAGAAAAGATCAGAAATAGACAAAAAAGACGACCATATATATATATTTTTTTCTTTGACTTTACCTTATTATCGAGTTTAGAAGTAGTATTAAGTTCGGTGTTACAAGCGGGCACCTGCGTAAAACGATTATCTTTTTTTGATAAATTCACTGTACGATCCTGTTGGATACGTACCTGAAGATTGCTTACTTGTCTTCGTATATGAGCCAAACTGCTTGGATTGTAAGCCATATTTGCGAATACCAGCCTTTCTTCGTAATCGTACTCGCAGAGAATTTTATTGTCGCATAAATAGAAACGATCACCAACACAAAACCTACAAAAATACATATTTCATTAATTTCATTTTATGTTTATACATACCGGAAATTTCATATAACTCGCAATATATGAATGCAATAACCACAGTTACGAAACTACTATGTACTTCCCACACAAAATGCAACATAGCTTAATAGTACAGGTATTGGGTAGTTCTGCAAAGGGCTAAACCTGAATGTTTCTGGTCTCGGTCTAAATAACAATTAAAACTAGAACTAACACTAGGCCTAGAACTAGAAACATTCGGATTTAGCCGCACGTCTCTCAAGACGGCTAAATCCGAATGATTCTAGTTCTAGGTCTTGTGTTAGTTCTAGTGATAGTGCTAGTGTAAAACTAGAACTAACACTAGACCTAGAACTAGAAACATTCGGGTTTAGCCGCACGTCTCTCAAGACGGCTAAACCCGAATGATTCTAGTTCTAGGTCTTGTGTTAGTTCTAGTGATAGTGTAAAACTAGAACTAACATTAGACCTAGAACTAGAAACATTCGGATTTAGCCGCACGTCTCTCAAGACGGCTAAATCCGAATAATTCTAGTTCTTGGTCTTGTGTTAGTTCTAGTGATAGTGCTAGTGCAAAACTTGAACAAACACCAGACCGAGAACTAGAAACATTGGGGTTTAGCCGCACGTCTCTCAAGACGGCTAAACCCGTATGATTCTAGTTCTAGGTCTTGTGTTAGTTCTAGTGATAATATTAGTGTAAAACTCGAACTAACACTAGACCTAGAACTAGAAACATTCGGATTTAGCCGCACGTCTCTCAAGACGGCTAAACCCGAATGATTCTACTGATTTTACTGATAGTGCTAGTGTAAAACTAGAACTAACACTAGACCTAGAAGTAGAAAGTATCAGGTTTAGCCATGCGTATGGCTTCATTCTAGTTCTAGTTCAATAAAAATATGCAACATAGTGATATCTTATGTTAACTAGCGCCACCTACCACTGTCACTAGAACTAGAAACATTCAGACAGGTTGTATTTTATATGGGACAAAGTAAGTAGGTACGCTCTGGTTTCTATGGAAATATATTTTTGTATCCAATTCACTATATGTGTGATATCAATACATTTTGTTTTAATAATTTTAGTACGGTATTAAGTGAGTCAGTCTTAAATCGTATTGAGATTGTTTTAGATAAAAGTGACATCATATTTGGGTGTTCAGGTGATGAGGTGATGTAGTTATAGCGGTGTTTTCAAGAATATAAGAAAATTACTGCGGTAACAATCTACTGGTGACAAAATAGACGAAAATGTTTGCAAAAAATTAGATATTGATTGTAGATGGTTAGATATTACCAATAGAAGATTAGATACTTCTTGCAGAGCAGAAGATTAGATATTGCTGGCAGACTAAATACTGCTGGTAGAAGACGAAATATTGTTGGCAAAGAGTAGAAACTGCTTGTAAAAAACTAAATAGTGCCAATAGAATGCTAAATATTTCTTGCAGAATACTAGATACTGCTGGCACAAGATTAAATACTGCAAGCAGATTAGGTATTGCATGCAGAAGATAAGATTCGTTGTTTTACCACTTAAAATGGGATAGTGGTGACTGTAATGCAATTGTATGGGATGATATCGATAATTACCGCAGATATTAGTGCCATGTATTTCAAGTTTAAGCGCGATTTCAGAGTTTATGTCAATAGAGTTTGTGAGCTGAATGAATATATGTTTTTTGCATCATTGGCATTAAGCGAATTAGTCTTAAATCGTAATGAGAGTGTTTTAAGTAGAGGTGACATCATATTTGGATATTCAGGTGATATAGTTATAGCGGTATTTTCAAAACTATAACCAAATAACTGCGGTAACAATCTACTGCCGGCAAAATACAAGAAACTGCTAGCAAAAAACTAGATATTGATTGTAGATGGTTAGATATTACCAATAGATGATTAGATACTTCTTGCAGAGCACTAGTTACTGGTGGTAGAAGACTAAATATTGCGAGCAGAATATTAGATATTGCTGGCAGAAGACTAAATACTGCTGGTAGATGATGAAATACTGTTGGCAAACAGTAGAAACTGCTTGTAAAAAACTAAATAGTGCTAATAGAATGCTAAATATTTCTTGCAGAATACTAGATGCTGCTGGCACAAGATTAAATACTGCAAGCAGATTAGATATTGCAAGCAAAAGATAAGATTCGTTGTTTTACCACTTAAAATGGCATAGTGATGACTGTAATGCAGTTCTATGGGATGATATCGATAACTACCGTAGATATTAGTGCCATGTATTTCAAGTTTAAGCGCGATTTCAGAGTTTATGTCAAAAGAGTTTGTGAGCTGAATGAATATATGTCTTTTGCATCATGGCATTAAGTGAATTAGTCTTATATCGTAATGAGAGTGTTTTGGAGGTGACATCATATTTGGGTATTCAGGTGATGTAGTAATAGCGGTGTTTTCAAAAATATAACAAAATTACTACGGTAACTACTGGAAAAAAATAAAAAAACTGCTTGCAATAGAAGATTAGATACTTCTTGCAGAGCTCTAGATACTGGTGGTAAAAGACTAAATACTGCGAGCAGAAGATTAGATATTGCTGGCAGAAGACTAAATACTGCTGGTAGAAGACTAAATACAACTGACGGAACACTAAATACTGTTGGATTGGGTTGCAAAAGACTAAATAGTACCAATAGGATGCTAAACATTTTTTGCAGAATACTAGATGATAGATGCAGATTAGATGTTGGCTGAAAATAGGATTTGTTGAAAATATGTTTTGTGGGATATTTATTGGATTCTCGTTAGCAACACAAAGAGAACCTTTCCTCAATTAATTCACTACAATTGGCCACGGTACAGAACTCTTTTGAAGGTTTACAAGGATTATCAAGGTTCCAAAAACGAGATCAACCCAATTCAATTATCATATATTTAACTATAATAATTTAATTTATGGAGTTTTTAAATTCCTTTTAACTTTCCCCATAATCTCAAAATACAAATGACATATTAAATTATTTAAATAATTTATGATTTAATAATAAATTTAGTGTAAAATTTGTCGTATTTATTAATATAACGAATGGAATGTCTTTATACATTTTAATAAATCGAATGAGTAAGTGTTATCGTTTATAAATGTAAAACAGCTGTTTGCTCTTGGGGGCTTATAAATATTAATGTGATATAAGTAATAAGTAATCCGTAATGTGAAATAATAACATATGGTTTTTGATAACATAAAAACTCTTTTTGTTATATTTAGCGGTTCTGGTTACAACTGCTAAATGAAATGCCGACGTGTACGAGTTACAATTTGTTTGGTAACAAATGTTGGGTGAAACGCGTTTACACGGTAATTTGAAACTATTAGAACGATAGCGCAAATCAGCGTAAAAATAACGGCTTTCTAAAAACTCGGAGTATCCACTTTCAATAAACACGGCTATATTTTATTTGAGTCGGTGTTTTGAAGAGGATTTAAAATATATTCACGCGCCTTGTTCAAAATAAACTATAAATAGGGGGAGGGTGAGACGAAATCGTCCGTTGAAAAGTTTATTATTTCGCTTTCGTAATGTTTCTATTTTATTTGGAAGTAAACGCGGTGGCCAAAAACGTCGTTTCTTGCCATTACGCTAAAGACGGCGTCTTCGGCTGCGTCTCTTTCGTCGATAATTGCCACTAAACGTCATCACCGTTTCCTGGTCGAAGAGAGAAGTTTTTTTTTCTCGCCGATTTAAGACTGTTGGACCGCTTGTAAAAGGAGTTGTACCCGGTTGGGAAAATGTCGCGGTGTATAATTAACCGGGTTCGAAAAGGACCGACCTACCTGTGGTTACATTGCTGGCATGCAAAGCACTCCAGATGGTAGACGTTGCTCTTTGCTCGCATGACCATTTCGAACGCGGGTATCACCTTGTTGCAGGCCGCGCAGTAACCGGTCGTTCCGAATAACCTAAAAAGTAACGCGTTTACACCACATCACGCGCAACTTACACAACGACAATAACACAAAAAAAAAACCAACCTAAGGTAGTCTCTTTTGCACAGGATTAGATTCGCCTTTGTGTAAAGCGTTGAGCCGACTTCACCGAGCCGGCAATCGCAACAGCCGCACTTTAGGCAATCTTCGTGCCAGAAAAGGTCCAGCGCCTTCAGGAGAAACCTTTCGGTTATCCTTTTTCCGCAACCCGCGCATTCCCTTGGTCCTGATGAAGTGTTCGTCGTTGTCGAAACGCTCACCGGCGTTGGACCAGATACGGCCACTGCCGTTCTACCAGTTGCTTGCTCCCCACCAGACTCTATATAAAAAAAAATCGTCAATTTAAATTGTTATAAGAAAAAATAAATATAACAAAAAGTATATAAAGATTATTTCCAGTATAAAAGATAATTCCTACGAGAATACCAAAGCTCTTTATTTCAGTTATCCGATTGTTACTGTGTCACCATTCTAGCTTGCAAAGGACTACTAATGGTTTCTGACAAATGGCACAAGCGAGGATTGAACTCCGCGACGTCGACGCCGTCCTAACTATGTACTAGTCACATTTTCCCTTGAAATTTTTCCAATATCATTCGCTACGAAAAATAATTTATTGACCTATTTTATCAAAAAGTATATTAAGAGATTGTGTATAACTTTTTTTTCTTCTAATATGTAATCAATACATTACATTTACACTTCTAGAAGTGTGGTCAAAATAGTTCTAGATTTCTTTGTGGAGTCATCAAGAAAAAATTGGTATAATTATCATAATAGGATGTCTGAACTCTATAAAATCTGCCAAATTCTTATTACAGTCTGGAATCGAACTTGTATGTTCATGAACCTAGCTAACATAGACTTGGAATATAGTCCACGAACCTGTTACGTATCTTTTTCAATTTCAGAAACTCTAGGGGCCATGCATTTCCAGACTTCTTTTTAAAGTCTTGCAAGTATAAAATTAAACCTCTTCTTTGAGTGCAACTTTTCCTTGGAATCCAAAACACGGTGAGTTGGCGAGATACATTTATCAAATACTTGATATTGTTAGCAGAGGAGTTAGCTGGCAGGGGAGTATATATTTCTAATAAAAGACTTGAGATTCTTCAGAACACACCTGATAGTGTTTGCAGAAGACTGGAAACTGTTGGCAAAATACTCGATATTGTTGGCAAAATATTTGATACTGTTGACAAAGGTCTAAATTAGCAATTATCGCCGATTAAGTTTTAAAAATTCGTATAAAATCCACTTCTTGGAATATGAGTATGAAAATTTCCCAAAGTGTTAATAAGAGTGTCCTCTTTCCAATGAACCAACCCGTTTTGAAAAATAACCTTTAGTTTTTGAGAAATCAAGATTTGAAGTTTTGAAAAAAATTTTAATGTTGCAATTTACATCGATAATTTTCAAAATTCGCTATAAAATTAATTTCTTGAAGGATTCTTGTGGAAATATCACCAATTATTAATTAAAGTATCCTCTTTTCAATGCAAAAAGCCATTTTGAAAAATCACTTTTAGTTCTTGAGAAACAAATTTTTGAAATGATCGACAATTTTTTCGAATTTTTCAATTTTCGCCGATTAAGTTTTAAAAATTCGTATAAAATCCAGTTCTTGGAATATGAGTATGAAAATTTCCCAAAGTGTTAATAAAAGTGTCCTCTTTCCAATGAACCAACCCGTTTTGAAAAATAACTTTTAGTTTTTGAGAAAACAATATTTGAAGTTTTGATAAAATTTTCGATGTTGCAATTTTCATCGATAACTTTCAAAATTCGCTATAAAATTAATTTCTTGAAGGATCCTTGTGGAAATATCACCAATTATTAATTAAAGTATCCTCTTTTTAATGCAACAAGCCGTTTTGAAAAATCACTTTTAGTTCTTGAGAAATAAATTTTTGAAATAATCGACAATTTTTTCGAATTTTGCAATTTTCGCCGATTAAGTTTTAAAAATTCGTATAAAATCCATTTCTTGGAATATGAGTATGAAAATTTCCCAAAGTGTTAATAAAAGTGTCCTCTTTCCAATGAACCAACCCGTTTTGAAAAATAACTTTTAGTTTTTGAGAAAACAATATTTGAAGTTTTGATAAAATTTTCGATGTTGCAATTTTCATCGATAATTTTCAAAATTCGCTATAAAATTAATTTCTTGAAGGATCCTTGTGGAAATATCACCAATTATTAATTAAAGTATCCTCTTTTTAATGCAAAAAGCCGTTTTGAAAAATCACTTTTAGTTCTTGAGAAATAAATTTTTGAAATAATCGACAATTTTTTCGAATTTTGCAATTTTCGCCGATTAAGTTTTAAAAATTCGTATAAAATCCATTTCTTGGAATATGAGTATGAAAATTTCCCAAAGTGTTAATAAAAGTGTCCTCTTTCCAATGAACCAACCCGTTTTGAAAAATAACTTTTAGTTTTTGAGAAAACAATATTTGAAGTTTTGATAAAATTTTCGATGTTGCAATTTTCATCGATAATTTTCAAAATTCGCTATAAAATTAATTTCTTGAAGGATCCTTGTGGAAATATCACCAATTATTAATTAAAGTATCCTCTTTTTAATGCAAAAAGCCGTTTTGAAAAATCACTTTTAGTTTTTTAGTAAAAAATTTTTGAAATGATCGAAAATTTTTTCGAATTTTGCAATCTTCGCCGATTAAGTTTTAAAAATTCGTATAAAATCCAGTTCTTGGAATATGAGTATGAAAATGTCCCAAAGTGTTAATAAAAGTGTCCTCTTTCCAATAAACCAACCCGTTTTGAAACATAACTTTTAGTTTTTGAGAAAACAATATTTGAAGTTTTGATAACATTTTCGATGTTGCAATTTACATCGATAATTTTCAAAATTCGCTTCATTTTTATTCAAATATCGCAATAATGTGGCAATGTAAGGTATCACATCAGAAATGTACCAGAAATTATAACCATAATGGCCGGATAGACGAACGGATAAACTATCCGTTCCATCACTAGTCTAAATACTGCCGGTGGAGTACTAGCCAGTTCTAATAGAAGACTATTCATTTCCTAATACATGCAGAAGATTAGTCTTCTACCGCAGCATCTAGTTTTCTCCACGTAGTAGGTAGTCTTCTGTAAATAGTAATATGAGGAACTATCTAATCCTGTGCCAGATATAAAATATATTTATGACGCAAAAACCAAACTTCTTCTTTGGGTTTGGAGTTTAACCGGTGTAATTTCAGACTTGCTCAAGTAGTTGGGAGTCTGAAATCTTTGCAACGTGAATCCAGATTCTTGTGGGATTTATTATTACTTGTAGACTAAGGTGTTATACTCGTTTTTTCTTAATAATTAATAAATTTTATATTATTAAGGAAATTCTCATAGAGAGATAATAGAAGGGTATTATAAAATCTTTAACGAGTATTAATTTGGCCGTTTACGACGTCAGATGGTAGTGACAAAGCAGATCACTTAAAATAACCGCACCATTCACATCGTCGCAATGGACCACAGAAAGGCGGTGCTGCCACAAATGTAAAGTGACGCAGCACTGCCCCTGTTCGAGAAGGACGTCACCGCCAAACGGACGTAGAGGGTAAAATACACTCTGTCGTACCGTGTCGGAATCAAGAGTACGGAAATAATGGGGTTTAGATTTCAAAGTAGGTTTTATTTATCTTTTTGGTATTGATTGAAAATTAATATTAATGAATAAATTACGAGATAGGCTTAAAGAGAGAGTGGGGTTAGCATTTGTTAGGTTATTATGATCCAACTTGTCCTCTCTCCGAAGACTAGTAATACGATGAATTAAAGATAAGGCAATTTTAAGATTGGCCGACGTTATTATTTAAATTTTCGACGGACGGGCGGATCCGGCCACCAGATGGCTAAGTAATTAGCTTTTTTAATCGAGTCCTGAATAATTTACGGAGGCGCGCCGTTGGTTTATGCAATTTTCGAAAAATACAAATCGAATTAACGTTTCGCTCTTATTGGAATTGCCGCGAGATTTCCAAATTTTCCTCCTATAATTCCTAGTTCTCCACTCGGACCTCAACGTTTTCATTTGCATAATGGAAGAACAACAAATGCATTTCGTATTAACTCTGAAGATTTAATGGGAGCGGCGCGGGGCCGAGCCGTCATTACATAGTCATGACATCTGAGCCAATTTAGTTAAAGTGGTTTTTGCGAACTCCGGGAGCTACGACCGACTGCTGAAGCGACGGCTGAAGCGACGGCTTCGGCGGGCGGTGCGCTCCGACGTCTCCGGCGTCGTACAATTAATAGCCATGGCATTCGGTACTTAAAATGCTAATTTTCCTAAAGCTCGGATTAAACCACCACTAAAAATACCCAAATTTCACTGATTTCATCGTTTGTTGTTGACCCGATTTCTTGATTTTCCACCATAAACATAATCATCGATTAAAACCGTTTGAAATACTGCGTAACTTAATAGTATATATAAATTTTGAAGATTTGGCATTCTTTTACTGGCCCATGTCCAATAACTGGATGGAACGTAAATAAGGGAATGAAGGGTTAAAATTTAAATTGATGTAATGAGATGGAAATTGGATCAGAGGCGGCGATAAATTAGAATACAAAGCCTACTTTAATTAAAGCGATAATTAAAAAAGATAGGTATCAGCGTGCGAAGATTGCGCCGGTCGTCAGAGGGCGCTGTTACGTCGCTTAATTATAAAACGTTGCGATCTGATACGTGCCGAAAGCGATTCTTATTGCGCGGGACATGTAATTACTTCCTAAATCTTTCAACGTGGATCGAGAAGCTCTTTTTCAGGGCTCGTCACGTGGCTGAAGATTTAATTAGCGGAAAGTGTCCACGCGGGGCTTCGTAATCGGTTCTAACATCGGCCTTCTCTTGAATCCGACGTATTGCTGCGGGCGGGCTTCGGGTAAAGTATCGCGTTACTCGACGACGAGGAATTAATTAAAACCGGGGAAAACAAACGTTCGATCATTTTCCTTGGGACATTAAACCCGAGCATCGATTCGTTTTTTACAACTCAACCAGTAATTGAGTCATTTAGATTAATTCAATTAAAATATACAATTTTTATATTTACATAAATTTATATAAAACATTCTAACATAAAAGATTTTGCATTGAACTGCTCAACATTGATGAGGTTCTAAGACATTAAATGCATGATTTCGCTTAATTGAGTCGAAATGCAATATCAATACAAATCGAGGTTGGTTTCCGTTCCACCCAATCCGAAAAGATAGTGCGTTCTAGACTGGACGTCGCGCGTTTATTTTACCTACATAAAGAAATAAATACGCGACGTCCTC